CTGGAGTATGAGGAGGAGCAAACTTGTGGATGGTTGGGTCATTGCCTCGAACCCGGTGAACAATGCCAGGTTGGCTACATGGACGACCAGAGCTTGATGGAGGAGCCGCGCAGTGAGGTGCTCGATCGAGCCCTGAAGTACATGGAACACTGCAAGAGCCACCCGAAGTATGACACCCAGGTGATCAGGACAGCAGTCGCCCTTGGTGATGACCTTCTGAGATCAGCCGGCACCTTGGAGAAGGCAATGCAAGGTCTTCGTGAAGCAAGGCGTCGAACCATTGGGGTCCCTACAGCAGGCGCCACTACGAAGGAGGTACTAGAATGCTTGGACGCCAACCACGCGGACTACCTCAAGGCTATGAACGCGGGGGGGGGTTCGCGCACGCAGGTACTACTCGCCCAGGAGGCTGAAGGCAGAACCATATATCCCTCCGCTGTGGACAACATCGAGGAGATTTACCAGAAGGCCTGGAAGGATGGTCATTGGGGCATTGTGCTCTTCGCCTCCGACAAGACGGAAGAGTGCGCCCGGAACCTCGTCGAATGCCCGCAAGGACGAGTGCCGAAGCAGCTACCTGATCGGAGCATCAGCACTGAAGGTCGCCCAATCCACGCCATGATGACTGCAAATTAACGCGGCCACCCACAAATTCCAGCACCCGCCGGCCGTGCAGCCGCGCCATCGCCAGATTGCCAGGAAGGCGATCTGGTGGGGAGCCCGCCGCCCTGGGATCAGGTGCTTCATCGCCAAGCTGGACGTGAGCAGGGCATTCAAATGGCATGATGTCGCTCCTGAGGACACCTCGGACTTTGGGAGCGCGCTTCCTGGGGGCCCAGTTGGAGTTGAAGGAAGAGTGAAGATGATCTACGGGGGTCTCCCCTTTGGCTGGTGCGGAGCCCCCGGAGAATACATGGCCTTCGCACTGGCAGGAAGAGCGTACCACGAGAACTTCAAGCCCGCAGACGAGCAGGTCAATGGTCCGACTCCGTTCTCCTCCGAATGGTTGATGGACGATAGCGTCATTGTTGAGCCCATGGTGGGGGTACGGCCCTGGCAAGCCGTGGATTCCTTGGGGCATGCGATCGAGAAGATTTGGGGCCAGGCGGCGCTGAATCTGGAGAAGCAGATTGAGGAACAGAACAGATCGTGTGGGGCCTGTTCATGAACGTGGAGAGCATGACGATTAGACTGCCCGAGCCCAAAGCCTTGAAGATGAGATACCTCTTGGCGCTCCCGGAATTGCAATTCGGAGGACGTGAGGCCCGAGCGTGGCGGTGCTGGGACGAGATGCTGGCGTTGCTGAGGCTGTGGTTTGAGACACCCTATGAGGGCACCTTCGAGTCCACCATGGAAAGCATGCTGACTACGAGAGAGCTCTTAGCACTCCCGGGCATGAGAGAAAGGCTGCGCTGGGTGGGAGGCGACGCCACTCCAGAGGTGGCGGGAGCCCTTGATTGGAAGGCAAAGCACTACATGCGCGAGGACGCCAAGGAGATGCTTAAAGCGCTTGGAAGAGTGCCCGTTGGCTGAGGAGCCGGAGATGAAGATCGCCATTGCGGAGCTACTTTGCTACGCTGGACTCGCCGCTGCTGAAAGCCATGGATGGCACGGTGAACTCGTCGCCTATGCAACGGACAACCAGAATGTTCGCTCCTGGCTCACCAAACGGCAATCGAAGTGCGCCATCGCACGCCACATCATCCGCATCTTGGGGATGTTGGAGGTTCGCTACCACTTCAAGACGGTGGCCTTCTACATCAGGACCTATCACAACGTCACCGCCGACTGGTTGAGCAGGGAGACCAAGAAGGTCGTTGAGGACAAGATGGAGCTGGACGGTTGGATTAAGGTCGACGTGAAGGAGGATTGGGGCCACTACATCGACGAGTCTGTGGCGGGCATCTTCAGGTGGCCGGGCGGCGAAGCCCTCGGGAGTTTGACCCAAGCGGTGGATGTGGTGCATAAGCCCTACTGCCCGATTGTAGCCACTGGCTGTGCTGTGGAGTTGGGCAGGGGCAGGTTGCCCTGGGCGATCGCATGGGATCGACTGGGGGGTCAGGTTTGCAAGGTCGGTCAGCAGGGCACACCCATGGACGAGAAGCTCGAGGAATCGAACCTCAAGGGCAGCGCCCCGCTGACAGACGAGACGGACCTGGTGTGGGTGTTCGGGAGTCGGACCTACATCAAGCAATTCGTGAAGAAGCACCTCCCAGCGAATGTGCTGATTGACATTGCAAAGGGCGGACCGGTTGAGGAGATTAAGAACGGCTTGATGAGGCTGAGCTACATCGTGCACACCTTTGACTGCCTGACCACCCACTATGGAGATCCGGTGGCGAAGAGGAAAGTCATTATCCTTGGGAGCCGCGTGCGAAAAGGTGAGACCATTCAGGAAGCCTCCATGCCCCCAAGGCGCGCGGCTGAGCCAACTAGCATACAGAGAACGCTGGACCCTGCGGTGGGCTCAGTGAGACCTCAGTGGCTCGACCCGGACACGGTGGCGAGCGTGAACCACAAAATCTCCACTTCAGGAGATCGCGCGCTCCCCTGGCCTGCAGGGCATTTTGCTAGCAGCCAGGATGGAGAAACCAAGGAGCTCATCTACGACATCCGCGGGCCTGCGTTAACCTGCAGGAGAGGCAAATCCATGATTGTGCTTGATCATCGAGGCGCAGAAGTGCAAGCAAGGCGGCTTGGCGCAGAAGAAGAGTGGCTTCTCAATGGTGGGCGCCTCGAGGACGTTCACATGCTGCACGAGCTCGGGACGAAACAGGACTTCTTCAAGAAGGACGCGGCCATGAAGTTCCCACAGCAGAGTGCCCACAGGCTGGTCGCTTGGTTCGAGCGTTGGAGGCAAGATCGACCAGAAGCTGACCCAGCGGCGCAAGAGCGTGTGGGAGTGTGCTTCGACGCTGACAGAGCCAAGGCTGATGAGCAGGTGAAAGCATGGATGAGGGCCTGGCAAGGGGATCATCAGAACCCTAGGGCCAGCTATGAGAGGTGGATGGCAACCCAGCGGCAAGACCCGGAGGCCCTCGAGAAGATCGGAGGACGCAGGCAGACTGGGTTGAAGAGAGCGAAGTCCGCTCCCCCTGACCGTCTGGTGCTTCCAAGCGCTATTGGGCGAGGTCTAGAACGACTTCAACTGGACGCAAATCAGGAACTACAACGTGACCGGGCATGGTTGGACGCATTGGCGGCTGAGGCGGTGATGTCTAAGCTCTCGGAGGGCACGCGTGCGGGCTACGAGGTCGGGTGGAAGCAGTGGTGCCTCTGGCGTCTACCTCACCGGGGAGACCAAGGACGAGAGGAAGGCCGATGAGGACGAGCTTCTGAGATTCATGACCTACCTGGCACACGTCATGCAAAGGACAGAAGGCACCGTGAAGCAGAGGCTCTTCGCTATCAAGATGGGCCACCTGGTGGCTGGACACGATGACCCCACCTTGAACCGGGTCCGCATCTGGGCGGCGCTGAATGGCTTCAAGCGATGGCAACCGGAGACGAAGCGCAAGTATCCGGTGCTCCCGGGCATGCTTGTCTGGATCCGTCGCCATCTGAGCTCTTGTGACACTCTGAGCAAGGGTGATCAAGTGATCCTTTGGGCTGCCATTATGGTGGGATTCTTCTTCCTGCTGCGGGCCTCAGAGTTCTTAGTCACGGTCGGTCGATCGTGGGGCAGCACACGCACCCTGAAGGGCAGCGACATTGAGGCGCGCAAGGACAACATGCAGGTGACGAACTTCCACCAGGCGGAGGAGGTGGTGATCTACCTTAAAGGATCTAAGACAGATCAATACCAGGGCACAGTGCGCAACCAGTTCAAGAGTGGCAGCGAGTTGTGTGTGGTCAGCGCCCTCGCGGACTACCAGAGCATCAAGCCTGAACGTTTTGCAGGAGCAGAAGAAAATCAGCCCCTGTTCAGGTTCGAGGATGGCAAGCCGTTGCAGCGCGGGGACATTCAGAACTTGATCCAGCTGGCAGCGGTGGCAGATGGACAATCTACGACCCGGTATGGTTCGCACAGCCTCCGTATTGGAGGAGCAACGGCAATGTATCAGACCACGAAGGACTTGGACGTGGTCAAAAGGTTTGGGAGATGGAATTCAGATGCATTCCATGGCTATCTTTGGGAGTCGCATGAGCGCCAGAGGGACCTCGCGAAGGGCATGGCTGGTGCAGATGGCCAACTTCTCGCACCAAGGAAGAACAAGGGCTATGAGGCGGCGCCCCGACACCAAGAGAAGCCAAAACAAAGGGTTGCTGACACGCCAACAGGACTACAAAGCTCCATGAAGGTGGGATCAATGGGCAATGTGAGCGAGGACTATGCCTTAGGCAACTTCGGTGACGAAGATCACGGAGGGCATGGCTATGACACCTCGGATGGCAAGACAACGACCCACGTGGAGCTCTATGGCGAGATCAGCTTCGGATGGAAAGCGCGGCCAAAAAGGCTACGAAGCACAAACTCAGACTTCGGCTTGACGGCAAAAGATGCAACTGTGCTTTCCAGTGTTTGCGAGAAGATCTGAGAACCTAGTAGCGTCCTTCTTACTACTAGTAAGGCACCTGTTCCTAGTAGCGTGGCACTTGTTCCTAGTAGCGTCCTTCTTACTACTAGTAAGGCACCTGTTCCCAGTAGCGTGGCACTTGTTTCTAATAGCAAACATTGTTACTACTAGTAAGGCACTTGTTACTACTAGCGATGCACTTGTTACTACTAGCTTCCCTAAATGGGGAGACAGGGAAGAACATTAGGGAAAAGCGATGGGACAAGTGACAAAGTTTAAAGAAACAAGGATAGGAACAGTGAATATCTTTAAAGGACACACACACAGAATATAAAATCAACGATGTCCAGAGTCTACTGGGCAAATATGTGCACAAAAGAAATAAGGACACAATAAAACAGAAAAACACACCCCTTAGTCTTCTAATTTTTTCCATGTTCTTTTTCAAGAAGCGGGCAGTGAAGTCCAAGACCGTGCATACAGGCTCTAACTGGCAGCCCAGCTTCATCGAGCGCTCCGATCGCAGCGAGCTCTTTAAGCTGCTGAGACTCAGGCGGTGATGAAAAGAGACGAAGTGATGGAACACGACTTTTACATTCTTTTTGACGCTTTTACTTGCTTTTGTCTTCCGCGTGGGTCCTTTTATATAGAGAGGTCGCTTTCTCAATTTGAACACTAACAGGTGCTGGAAGTGGCTTTCTCAAGGTTTTCCTTCTCGTTCGGTCATACCTTCGGGGTCCTTTCGTTCCTTCGGTGGGCCCGTACTTCGTCCCTTCGTCCCTTCGTTGGACATCTTTCCAGGGACTTGAGTTGCTACCACGAGCCGCCAGGCGAAGCGTCAGATGTTTGCCACGTCGCTTTATTGTTTGAAGCTTTCTTTTGTCGGAACAGATTGAAAAGCGACAGCACAGTGGAAAGATGGAATAAATCATCCTAAGTATTGGCAAGAACAATCTGTATGAATTTGACGAGTTGCTGATTCGATCTCAAAGCCGGTGACCATAAGCTCCATGCATCAACAGACATTCCAAACAACTAGAGATTTGTCCACTTGCAGATTGATCGCTACTAAGTTGGAGGCCATTGCTCCAGGGTGGAGGCCATTGCTACTAGGTTGGAGGTCTCTCTAGTTCCACTTGCAGATTGATTGCACGGTCCGGGGTTTGGACAGAAGATTCGAGGCCTTCGAGCCATGTGGGTTCGCATGGAGATGCCGAAGAACAGTCCGCTTTGTCCTGAGCTTCAGCATCTGGAGCCTGAGCCTGCGGAGCTTGTTGAGCTGGAAATCAGATTGATGAGTGGCCAGCTGCTGGCAGAGGTTCAACACCTTCGATCAGAGGGCTTGTCGAAACTACGCGAACGAATCAAAGAGGTCTGTGAAGTTGATGGCCCTTTCTGGCTCTTACACCAGGATCGCTTGGTGACTGGAGATTTGGCAGCACTAGACACTGAAGAGAAAGCGGAGAAAGTGACCTTGGTGTTGGTGAAGCGGTCTTTGTCAGACTTGAGTGCAGAACTTGTGGGTTTCGACGGTGCCGCTTATCGTGGAGACTTGCCAAAGCTTTGTGCTTTGCTGGACGATGGTGCTTCGATCGAGCATCGAGACTCTGCAAAGTTGCGGACACCGCTGATGTGGGCGGCCTGTGGTGGCCATGCTGATCTTTGTCGCCACTTGCTCCACCGAGGGGCCGACCCTTTGCTCAGGGCATCAGGGACCACTGCCGCACAGTTGGCTCAGGGGAATGGACATGAAGAACTTGCAGTCATGCTGAACAGGGAGGTTGAAGAGCATGACAGTGTCAGTTCAGGCAGTTCATGTGTCATGCGACTGAAGAAGACTTTTGTGTGGGTGGAGAGTGAGCTGATGCCTGTGAGCCAGCTTCTTGAGCTTCTTGTCTTCTTCGCCGTGATTTTGCTTCTCCTTCTGGGTCATTCGGTGGCCTTGCTGGGTGCATCTTTGATTCTTGCCCACACTGTGCCCAAAGTCTTTCAGGCTCGAGTTCCAAGGAAATTGTTTCCATGGACAAAACGCAAGAGCAAGAGTGTGGTGGCCCCGCTGCCAGATCCGATCGATGAATAAGCTTAGGCGGCCTTTTTTGTAAAGTAAGCTTAAGGTGTGCAGTATTGCATTCAAAAATTAAAGGGAAGATATTTTTCTGAACCGTCTCCAAGAGTGGGACGGAGATGTACAGGAAACCTCGAGGTTTCGTTTGCAACTCACTGAACAAGTGTTTTCAGTCACGGTAGGAAGCTAAACAGGTGTTCTCTGCCATAAAAGTGCTTTTCATGCATTTCAATGGTCTGCTCCAACCAACTTATTATCTGTACCGGATTCCGACACAGCACCCAGCTCACTGAAGCCACCAAAGTAATTTGCTGTGATGGCCGACTTGGATAGACATCATAACAATCACAAACACAACACACACACAGAGTTGACTCTATTTTCAGATCTCACTTCACAGATCTAGCTGAATCCAAGCCGATCGCGGTGTGTCGAGTGTAGCGGCGAGGTTGGGCACGCCGCATTGATCCTCGAGAGTGGACTGATGAGGATCCGCACCGGTCTGGGCGCTGCGTACCAGTGAGTGTTCGTTTGAGGCGAGGGCGCCCGGTCCTGCTCTTCGCGGTCCGTTTGACACAAAACCCTGGGAGTCCAACAACTGCTTTAATGGTCTTTGCCAAACAAACATTGTTTTACTAAGGGCTTTAGACTACAAAACCAGGTTAACCATCCTTTTCATGCTTTTTGAAGGCTAGGGAAACCGTGGAAGGACAAAGGAAAACGAGGAGACCTTGCTGAACGGTTCTCGAGTGAAGGGTCAAGAGGCGCCTTCAAAGCCCTGAACGATCCTGAACGTGTAGGGCGTGAGACTGTAGGGGCCACTGTGGGCCATGCCTATTTACTTCCAACATTTCCAAGCACTTGGCGTAGAAGCAGCATGACAGCTTTACGTTGACAGCTTTACGTTTTTGCAGAACAGCTTTGTAGCAGCAGTTTTTGGTAACAATCCGGGAAGCTTCGATCTCAGGACTTCCGACGATGCTTTGATCGGCCAGAGGCGCTTGAGGAAACATTCCCAAAAGCACCGGAGAGCTTTGACAACCTAATTGCGACGGCCTCCAACCTAAGAGCCATGGCCCCCAACCGCAATGGATTGCTCAAGGCGTCTTGAAATGATTCTGTCTTGGCGGACCTTTTATTTAGAGGCAATCCGTATGAGCCACTCCGACTACTCAAACCATTGACCGGAAAGAGACCGCGTTGATACAGCAAAAAGGACACTTTTTCCATCCTTTTCCTTCAGTTTGTTGTTGAACTCTTAGCTTCAATCTGCATGTTCCAGGTAAGATTGTAAATCTCCACGTGTTTGGAACAAAACAATTGGCTACAAATGGTCCAGGCAGTGCAGCTGGCTCAGGGGCGCATCATCTACCTCCTCCCGCCGTGCAGCGCACACCTGAAGCTCACTCAGGCCACCGAGCGACACCGCAGATGCGACATGGAACAGAATTCTTGCTCCTAGTAGTATGGCCAGGAGCCCCTAGTAGCGTCCTTGCTCCTAGTAGCGATTCCCTTTGTTCCTAGTAGCGTCCTTGCTCCTAGTAGTAAGGCCAGGAGCCCCTAGTAGCTTCTTGTTCCTAGTAGGGAACTGCCAAGACAGGTATTCCAGGTGTTCTCCACAAAGACCCGATCTCGCTGTTCTCCTAACGAACCGATCTGATGGACGCGTTTCTTCCATCTCGTGTCTTGTCTCTCCTCATCTCATGCTGTTTGGTACCTGCAAGCAGTGGAGGCCTTGGCTTCCTCGCCACGCTTCGACCTGAAGTGCGAGCTGGAGCCCATCAAGGTGAGCTAATGGACCGACATGCGTAGTTCCTTTTCTCTTCTCATGACAACATGGAACAAAAACTCTCCAGTTTCCTTTCCATGTTCCACACAGACATCATCTCCCTGAATCCTCTTGGTGCAAACACCGCAAGCTTTCCATTATGAAAATGGCCGGCAAACTCTAAGACCACCTTTTTGGGCAAAGCTCACCGCAGTCTGCTTGAAGTGCCGATGCAACAGAACCATCAGAGGTTCAGAACGGCAGACTATAGGCTCTGAGTATAACATTCCTTTGGGCCTCACAGGTGCTTGTGTCGGCTGCAGGCTATCGAGGTGCGCCAACATTTCTCAACGGGGTTGGTGAAAGGTGTGACTAATGAGAAGATACGCAAAGAAAGATAGGAAGCGAAGACCATGTGAGCCAAGTTTGGTCCCTCACATGCAGACCAAGTCGCCACCATATTTTTCATTGGCCAGGCCTTTGCGGCATCATGTCGCTGGTCTCTGAATACTTTGCGTTTCAGGCGCAGCTCTGACCGTGTGACAATGGTGATCATGGTGTCTCGGGAGCTGCTTCCCAATTCCGGGCCAGGAGGTAACAAGGCATTGGATCCAGAGCTATTGGCCGCACCGGCCACTTGTGCACGTGCACGGCAACAGCATCCTGCCGGGGTTCCTACTTGAAGCGCCCACTGCAAGTTCTCCAACGTTTACATGCAAGAAAGTACTTTACATTAGATTCTCTCGAACTTTTACATGGCATCAGATCTTTATTCACTTGGGCATCCATGTGGTGTTCATTTTCTTTTTTCACTTTGCATTTCTATATGAATAATCAGGGAACCGCTTCTTCCTTGGGACCTCACGAACCCCCTTCGTGATGGTGCTGAGGTGGTGGCGCTACGCCCTTCGGTGTATCCGTGCTGCGGCCGCCAATGTGCGCGCACAGGGCGCTAAGGCGCCAAGGGCGAATGCAAAGCTAAGCGAAGCTAGTAGCTTCTTGCTACTAGTAGCGATGCACTTGTTACTATACAATAGCAATGGCCTCCAACCTAGCAAAAGGAACCTAATAGAGACGGCCTCCACCCTAGACAATTTAGGTTTCCGCAAAAAATCTAGTAGTCCTTCCTAGTGAATAAATGGTGCGAGCGCTTCTGAAGGAGCTATCCTGCATCCTAGCTAGGAGCGAACGAGTTCCCAGTAGCTTACTCCCTTACATAATTAAGTAGGCGCCTACTTAATTAAGTAGGACCGGGCTAAAAAAAGGAAGAAACAAAATCAAGCTAAGACTGCCTTTGTTTAGCTTCGGCAAGTTTGATTGTGATGCTTGCGAGTAGGACGTAAGAGTCGAAAGTGATCATCGATACTTCAAATGAAGTTGTGAAAGTTGGCACTGATGTTGGACGGCGCTTGATGGTTGTTTTGCGGACTTTTCCGATCCAAACTGTTCCCAAACTACTTCGGCAGACCTGCTGGGTTATTGAATGGGTGGGTCGCCGAATGGATTGACCCCGGACATCTTCTTCGCAGGTCACCTTTGCCTCGCTGGTGAGTGAGGAGAACCTCTCTCGACTTCGCTTGCAGGAGAAACCTCTCGACTCGCTTTGATGTATCCTTTGGTGAGTCCCTTGACATTCCCTTTTCTGTTTGGAAACATGTCTTTCCTTTTCCACAGTTAATTAGCAGTACTGTCTCAGAGCAAGGGCAAATCCCCAAGTGTGCCAAGTCCTCACTGGTTTTTCAGAAGCGAAACACAAGGCGACTGGTTCTTAAGTGACTTTGCAAGCTGGTCTGGACGACTGAGAAGACTGAGAAGACATTTGTTAATTGTTTTCACTTTTCTCAATTGCATCAGGCGGAGTACTGCAACCTGGTGGTGAAAAGCCGTTCTAGCCAGCTTTTGGAGCATGAACAGGACAGGTTTTGGCATTCCATCGCAGGAAAGCCATTTTGTCAATTTAGTTTGGTGGATCGAGACACGTCCCACAAAGACAAATCCCTTTGTTCGATTCTTCCTAAGTTCTTTCAAGTCTGCTCCTTTCTATTTCCTTTTCTTTCCTTCCTTCTTTCCTTCTTCTCATTCTTTGCATTTTTTCTTCCGCTTCCGTTGGTCGAGGCTCGGCTGCAGCGGCTGCGGGTGTCGCTGCCGGCCACCGAGCTGCTGCGCTGCCACGCGGAGCTCGTGCGGACCGACGTGACGGACGTGCGGACCGAGCTGCGGGAGGAGGACACCTTCCGGTACCGACGTGATACCTAATAGCATCCTTTGCTCCTAGTAGCGAGGCCCTTTGCTCCTAGTAGCTTCTTGGTATGGATGTGTGGCCCAAAGAATGAACAAGACATCGACTTTTGAATCTGAAGAACTCTGGAGGTGAAGGGATTCTCGAGTTTCTTTCGTCTGCGACTGTGGGCGGAACGATCGAAATGGAGAGATGCATTTCTTTCGCATTTCGCTAGGCAGGCGACGAACGCAGTTGGAGCTTCTGGGGGCGGACCAAGGCCAGGAATGAAGTTCGAAGTCTTTTCCGAATTGGAGTGCTTTCTTCCCAGAATTGGTTTCAGGGAAAATCTGCTTGAAAGCCATAGTTTTGCGGGTGAAAACAAGGGTGTCCTGTAGATTTTCCCTTAACACCAATTCATTGATTTCTGTGTGCTTTTCATCCTGAAGAACCGTTCAGATACTGTCGGTTCCTTCCTCACCTTCTGTAGTTGTCAGCTCCTCAGGTTTGCGGAAGATCCAGTGAACAGATGTGAACAGGGCCTGAAAGAGAACTTCGATTGAAACACATATACAGTGCAACAGCAGGTATATTGCATCATCTCTAATGGTTTTTCAACCATTTCTAGATTCTACTTTTGTTGTTTTTGCACCCGGCCCTAATGGAATTTTCAGGAAACTACTCGAAGTGCTTGAACACCTAGAAGCATCCAAGGCTCTAGACAATCCTGCTGTGGAGGAGGTGAAGTCCGGATTGTGCTTGAAGACTTTAAGTTGCCTCTGAAGAAAGGGAGCACAAAGGGCCACTATAGAAGATGAATCTGAGATCAATGACGCTACTAGGAACAAGAAGCTACTAGGGGCTCCTGGCAGCGCTACTAGGAGCAAGGACGCTACTAGGGGCTCCTGGCCTTACTACTAGGAACAAGAAGCTACGAACGTAACAAGAAGATGAAAGGGAGCACAAGGTGAGCATCTCTTCGCGCTTCGTTCGTGCTTCGTTCACGCTTGAGGATCACATCTTCACGGAGCAGCTTTTGCATCACTCGGGGCGTGAGAGGTCGGATCCTGATCACTGAGCACGTGTTGGATGTTGTGTTGGTCTTCGGATTCTCGGTGTTTTGTGCAAAACAGTTTTGTGCAAAACAGTAAAGAACACCTTTTTGTTTTTACAAAGCGAGCCACGGATCCCACGGCGAGCTCCGTAGCATGTGCGAATCGAAGATGTTGGTCGGAGGCCCCACATGCAAAGCGAGGACACTGCTGTTGCTTCGGGCCGAATTGTCAATAAATCTACTGTATACAACTGGGTTTTCGTCTCACAAAAGTTACACATTTCTCTCAGGCTTGGTCGACTCAGCACTTGCTTTCTGCACTTTCACTGAGCGCAGGAATTCCAGGGCCACTTTCGGCACAAGCCCTCGGTGGGAAGTTGGCTTATGAGAAGGCGCTTCTGGAGACCAAGGTATTCGATCGAGGGCTTTGCAGGTCAAAGGCATTTGTCCCCAAAATTGGCTTTCTTCAAGCAAAGAATAGAATAGAGGGGTAGAGAGAAAGGAGGCACGAAAAGAACTAGACAGGGCGTCCCTGAAAGACTTTCCTCACTCTTTCAGCTCTGACTTTCGTCCCTATCTTCTTCCTTCTGTACTCTGTCAAATCTCCATTTCTCTTCTTCTTTCTCCCCCTCTTCTGCCTCTCCATGTCTCTCCTCCAATCCCAGTTGAACAGTCAGGCAGTGCAGCATCCGTATTGCTGTTTGGAACGATTCCTTTATATATTCCATTTTTTTTTGTTTGAAGGGGGAGGCCGCTCTTAGGGAGGCCCTTGGTCCAGGCCATTCCGACCACCTGGTCACCGCCTCGACTCTGAAGGCGCCTCGGACGACGGGACACTCGACTTAGACCGAAGCACCGCGGACCGCGGACCGCGGACCGAAGCAAGCGAGGAAGGCGATTTCGGTGCACTGAAGTAGACTGAAGCACTAGGTGAGAACGAGGAAGACGAGATGGAGATGGAGATGGCACCGATGGAGGAAGAAGATAAGACAGAGGTGAAGAACTGGAATTCAGGCTAGTAAGAACTGTGCGAATGACTGGAAGTCTCGATTAATGACACGGACTTACTAGCTAAAAGGGGATCTAAAACACCATGTCTGTTCAACTTGACTCCTCCTTGCTAGCTCTTACCGACAAGAACACTTCTTTTGGCATCAAAACCCCTGGCAAGTTTTGGCTTCAACTGCAAAAGCTGTTCTTGGGAAGTTGATCAGGCAATGAAGCCAAGATGGATGGAGACACTCCTCGAGGCCTTCACATGCGGGTGTAAAGACCAAAGGAAGGCCGAAGGTGTCACAAAGGAATAAAGGAGTCCAGCTCTGCTTCATCTTGCTTGTCCGTGAGGCAGTTGCACCCAGGATCCACCACCTGTGTTGGCAGAGGACGAAGACGAAAAGATGAACGGCTCAAACGGGTGTAGAGCCCAACGGGTCTGTCAGCGATGTCACCGACACGTGTGACGTCACCTTCTTCCGGATCGGAAGCGGTGCAACTATGTTGAAGCCAGGAGCGCCCCTAGTAGCTTCCTTGCTCCTAGTAGCGATGCCCTTTGTTACTAGTAGCTTCTTGTTACTACTAGTATTGCCAGGAGCTACTACTACGAACCATAGTGTGGATAGATAGATTCGGTTCACCCAAGTGTCCGAATCTTGATACGTATGTCCACATTTCGCCGCCCCAAAATGAGCCACTCGTTGCTCAGTAGAACAATCGATGATCGGAACCGACGACACTTCGACTTGGCTTTTGATGCCCTTTGGCGATATTCGCCACCAGTTTCGCATTTCCAAAGGACTTTCGCTTCAAGCCTTCAGTGGGGACCTGGCTTCAGCCGAGGCATGAGACGCTAGGAGTGCTGTAGAGAAGTCCAAACGCGACAGCGCTTCCAAGCGTCTATCATGAAGCGTTCTTTCATGCTCTTTTGGGGTGTGATGTCCATTCCTGAAGGTTCTTCTTCATTTTGGCTTCGGTTTCGGTTCGGTTCTTCTTTCCGACAGTGCTGCTTTTGGGTGAGTGTCGGTTCCAGTCTCGATCGATCGTGAGATATCGTGAAGGGACGAGAAATCCATCGGGACGAGATGAATCCATTGAATCCATTTGTGTGCAGAACGTAGTCATGGAAGGTGGATGGTGGAAAGTGTAATACTCCAAACCAGATGCTCTTTTGTGAGGCCTTCCCCACCAAGTCGAAGCTCGGGACCCCTGTCGTTGAATGAATGCAATGTTGAGTGCATGATGCTCATGTGTTTCGCTCGACTTTCCAGCTTGAACCTTTTTTCAAGTGCGTCCATTGAGTGGTGCGTACATGACAAACTCCCAAGCTCGGTTCCTTTGAGGCCAGCCTGTGCCAGAAGTAGAGCGAAGCTGGTGCGCCTGAAATGGAATAAATGAGGAAACAGACTTCAGACTTCGTTTGTTGCTTCGTTTCGTTGTGGGTTGCTGGGTTCTAATTTTAGACAGAGTTGCAGTTTGAGCAAGAAGAGCCAGGTTAGCATGGCTAATGCCATCCCGTTTTGCAGAATCAAAGGAGGCTTTGCAGAAAGCCACCAAGGAGAGTCAAAGCGGAGCCTCAGCGGCAAGTCGCCGAGTGTATTTTGTGCCAGAAAAGGAGACAACTGGTTGTCAGTGTGTAGTTAAGTTTGACGGTTGCCAAACAATTTGTGGGTGTTGCAGATCAATTCATTCTTCCAAGGAGCAGAAAGCTCAAGTTGGCTTTGGAGGCTTGTTTTGGACTCGAGTCGTCCTTTGCACCTCCAGTTTGCAGATCGTCGCCCTCTCCCCGCCCTGTTTCTACCCAGAAAAGCTGTTCATTCGGCTGTTTGATACAGAGAAATGTGCAACCTGTCAAAACACCAAGCTGCTGTGGCAGGCGAAAGAGCAGGCGAGACGTGTTTCTGTGTCGAGCAAGAACTGCAGGAATCCTGTTATATACATTAAAGATGACCATCGTCATGATATATGCAGCTGCTGCGTTTGTTTTGGGCCAAGCTTGGCAGGGACAGATGGATGCCCAAGTTTGGGCCAGTGTTGGTAGACATACTTGTGGTGAGTTGACGATAAAGAGGCCAGATGCCAGTGCAAAGGAGCATCAAAAAGAACCTTCGTCCAACTTCCAGGGAGCTAAGTTCAAGTGGCCAGCCCGGGTTGTTTGCCCACCTGGTTCAGCCTGTTCAAAGATTTTCCACGCCATGAGCGGATTGGCGCCATTGTTGGCAGCCGCACCTGCAGGGTCTCGCTTTGGCCCTCACTTTGGAGACTTGCTGAACCAGCTTCGACATGCAGGGCCCAAGCGGCTGATGGTGATCACTGACTTTGATCAAACGTCGCCTGGTAAG